CATTTTTTTTTTATGATTGATATACATCGGGATCGTTTTACTCGTCATTTTGACGCTTTATTTTTGACGTTAAATTTGACGTCACGTCAAACGTTCAATTGAAATCGCAAGAGTTATCTCCCCCAGTGTGTTGTACGTCTTATACTCCAAGATTTAAAATATTGAGATTTTTGTGCTTTTCAATACGTTAAAAGTAAATATAAGGTATGATTTTAAGCTTAGCTTGAATTATTGAGAGACTGAATAAGTGGATTAAAAAAAATCATTTTATTGCAAAGTAGCTGCCTATGAATTCAGAAAGGCCGAACTTAAATTTCCCGTGGGGAGTGGTTGTATGAAGTATTTAAAGTATGATATGGTTAATCCTTTTAATTTTGAAAACCGTGGCGATTTCATCTTTTTAAAGCTCCTTGGAGTGTTAAAGTATCCATGACTGATTTACACCACTTTTCGTTTAATTTGTAGTCAATACTCTTAAAGTTTCTCTTTACAGTTGAGCTTGGAGGAAAATAAACTGGAACCCGCAATAAATATTTTTAAGGATTTTTTTCATAAAGTTAGGGAATATGCAATGTAATTCTAACTTTATTTACAACCGTGCCAATGGGCATGTTTATCTCATTTCTCAGAGAAAAAAAAAAACAAAAATCTCTATCTAATTAAGTATAAATGATACTTTAAACTGGAAAGGTATTCTTTAAATTCTTCAATATGATTACAAGTAAATCATAACAATCAAAGGATAGGACACTTCTGACAAATTTGAATATATATATACATACAATATATATACAGTATATAGAATCGTATGTATCGAATCACACGTTGTAGGACAGTCACAATACTTTAATTGTTCTGTTCTTTGCCACAAACCTAGTTCTTTAATGCTTCTTATTTTTCAGATGTGCTTTGGCAGTTGATAGATTGATGTACCTCTGAAGTTCTTGAAGAAGGCTTTTTCCAGTCTGTTCCATTGTCTTCGTAAATTTAAGGCCCTGGGGATTTCTAAAAAAAAAAAAATACAGCGATATATTTACAGTACTTAACTTTATCACTAATATACGAAACTCTGTGTATTCCTTTATCTACTCAATATCATGTACAATGAAGGAATAATGGAATTTTTGATATTTCGTGATTTTGGTGATATCAGAATGATCAAAGAGGATAATAACATTCCGTTATAAGTTCTTATCAGTAAATTAATTTTCTTCTTGCCCCATATCACTATTGATATTTCTCCAAATGCCTCGGAATACATTTATGTGTAAAAATCGTGACTTAATTGTTTACCGTTTTAATTTCCTATCTAGAAGAACACCATCGAGGCAACTTTTCTCCAGTGATGAGTAAACTTGATTTCCACAACATGCGGGCTTTTGCATGTTTGAGACGGAGTGAATAACACCTAGAAAAATGTCATATATTGCAACGTTTTATTTAAGAAATAAATAACAAGTTTATAAACTTCAATAGGAATTGAAGTGGGTCGGTCACGTGATCAAATCCTGTGAAGGCCGAAGGCCTTCTCAGAAGATTTGATCACGTACCGAAGTCTACTTTCAATTCCCATTTGAAGTTTATAAACTTGTTATTTATTACTTATATATACATTTGAGACAGACAATTGAATATTTTCGAATTTAAATTATTGCACTAACCGTCCGTCGTAGATTTTGAAAAATGACGCAAGGTGTAAATCGGCTTGCATGGCGGTTACGCTTCAAATTCATTAGGCTAAGGAATCTATTTCGAAGGGAATATTTTGTGAAAGGCTACTTGTGATCAGTAATAGTGAACAGATTGTTGTCTGGGAATATTTTATTCGTGAAAAATGTTAATCGATGCTGAAAAGACACAAGAAACACGTCCGAAGTTTGATAATAAAAAGTTGGAGGAATTTCGGTCGCTGGAAAGGGATGGATGGATCCGATGGACTGAGACACTTGTCCGGGCCAGTTAATTTGCAATTTGATCAAAAACATTCTACGGTTTCAGTAACTAAAGGCATACTTATCGTAAAACACTGATAAACACGGAGACACTGGCGACAGCTTTACATTGAACTACGAAAACGCCGAGGTGTTTGGCAGTTGTTCATGGCATGATTGCAAAGATATTTTCCAACAGATATACACATTTATCGTGAGTAAAATTTAAAGATAAAATAAAAGTTTATCATGAAAATTTAACCAAAGGTCTATCCAAAAAATAAGGATGAACGTTAGAGACTGCAGCTGACAAAAGTGAAGAAAAATGTAAACAAACGCTAGGCTCCTAGTTTTCTCTATGTACACAGGTGAATCGATAGCCCAAAAAACTGTATGAAATACTTGTTTACATTTAAAATAAAATAATTATCATTTTACTTGCTTATTTTATTCATTTTTATACATGAAAAGCAAGTAGAGCAGGTCATTTTATAATTTATGTACCGGGTAGATATTATTGCGCCCTGTGATTAGGTCATGTATTGACCTCTGACCTCCGACAAACTTCATATAGAATTGAAGATATTTCCTTTCTGTATGTTTATATAGTGGAGAGATACCACAAATGTATATATTTAATATTAAGTTTACTGAAAACTACATTTTTATAATGCACAGATAGTATATTATATATTTAAAAATCTTGCTTTAATCAGCTTTTTTTTAATTTTTAAGTCGATAAAACTTATAGCAATAGAATCACAAGAAGCTGTTAAAGCTTATTGATTCATCTGAAGAATGTTCACAAAATTTTGATACAAAGGAAAATTATCGTATGCGTATCATATATCCACACGCTACGTTATTAATTGTTACAAATATATTACTGTGAAATGTTAGATATTTTGACTGGAACTTGTAGTTCTTTCATTTTCATCTAAGAGTAGGTAATAAAAAAGAGTTATTAATCTAACGAAGTGTTTTATCAAAAGTAATATAAAACAAACTTTATGGTTTATGCATACAAGTACCTGTACATGAGAAAACATATATACAAAAATAAAAAAAATTATCTTAGTACCGTATCGTGTAATTTCATTTTCATTCTAATTCGGAAACGGTAATGCACAAATATAATTTTATCAAATATGGTTTATCTCAAAGATTCTATATGTCAATGTATATGTTTTGATTTTTAGTATTTGTCAGAATCTGTGAGCATTTTTGAAGGAAATATGCTTGTTTAATTGAAAATAATAATAAATCTGAGCAATGTGATTATAAAATTCCAAGAAACATTCAGATAATTTGTTAACCACATGCACATGACCATTGATTATAGGACTACAAGCCCATATCTTCATCTCATCCAATTGCACATTCTTGTAAATTCTATTTGTTCATATGATTCAACTCTTTATTTTCAAAAGAATAAAACACGTACTTGTCTATAATTTCAGTGGAAACTGTGACCCCAAACGAACTGTAAATGGACAGGGTAATATAGTTTAACCGTATACTTGTAGATTTCTTTTTGTCTGCTTGTTCTTTGGGTTACATTACTTTAGCTTTTTTTTCTATTTTATGTACAGATGGATGTCTTTATGACGGTATGGTCCTAAAAGCCGGTGAGACCATCACCATTCAGGGAACAACAACTGAACTCATGTGTCTCGGACACAACTTGTATAAAGAATTCATTCATTAAGGTGCACTGTTACATGTAATAACTGAGAGAAATAGAATATGGACAAAGTTTACCTCTGGCAATTGCAATAATCCTTCTTTGTTTCTTTTTTAGAAGTTGTGAACAAGTGAAGTATCATACATACCAGTATTTCATCGATCAAATATTTTTTATATTTTGTCATTATGACTTTAAAATAAATTACTTGTGTATCTCCTATAAATATTTCACGTTTTTTTTCTCAACTGAAATAAGCACTAAGTCTTTTGATCAATTTGTCATTTTTCCCGTCGTTCCACAGACGCTTGTGGACCCCCCCCCCCCCCCGCCCCTTATATACACCCTGGGTCCAAAAGATATTTTTATTAATCTTCTTTCATTTTGTAGTACACATTTACATTGTATTACACATGAAAAATCCAAAAATAACGTTGAATTATAGTTTTATTAAAATCGTATCCGCGGTATCTTTGGATCCAGGATGTATACTCCAGTATTCGGGGACGGGGGTGTTCCTGTCCCTGGCTTGTATCACATATACTTTCTGTTCGTAACGATCATGCCAAGTACAAAGAAATGTAGATGTTGACAGCGACTCCAAAAGATGGAGGGGTGGGGGGTAAGCGAACATATACTTTAATAAGCTTGGGGAAAATGTTTAAAAGGTGTAATCAGGCTATTGTAATTACCTAAGGAGGGATAACAAACTATATTTTAAATCCTCCTGCTAAGGACCATATTTCAACTTAATCAATGAGAGAATAAAAATCTCAGTTGGTAGGCTTCTAGTCAAACATCACATGACAAATGTTTAAGACGAAATCTTTAAGCACATCATATATATAAACTCAAAATTAAAAATATTAACAACCCTGTCGTGTAAGTGCGTTTAATCATTTCACATTTGCTTTTCCGTTACTCGGTTGTATTATTATTTTAAGTTGGATTTTTTTGATAGAAAACGTTTTTTCTCCTTTTATCTCAGTCATCATATTTAAACAATGAACAATTTATATTTCACTGTGACATGTTTACGTTTTGATTTATTTGATATTTTTTTGGGTGACACGACACTAGCACCTGCATTATTCTGCTATCTAAAGTCATATAAAAGAGACCTGGGAAAATGATACTGGTTTAAAACGCATAGAAAACTTAGTAAGTAAACGACCATGTTTCAGTCACTGAAACTCGCTTGCTTGTTTGTTATTTCTTGCATTGGGGATGAAAGTGCTTCCTTCCTCTTGGACGGACACGCAAATCCGTCCTCTGCAAGCAGTCAAGGCGTCGGTACCTACAATATTTACGACAAGATAGATGCCATGGAAAGAGTGTTGGACGAATGGAATATCACTTTAACAGAGAAAGTCCGTGACCTTGAAATGAACACTCAGAAAAAGATCCACGACATGGAGAAGATGATGCGCCAAGTTTTGCTTACAGTTAACCAGATGGATGTCAAGTTGGAAAACAGCGATGTTCACAACATGAGTCTCGAAATTGAAAAACTGAAGAAAGAAGGTTTCAACCATGTTAAAAATTCAACAGGTATAATATTTAGCACAGGTACTTGTGGACACGACCCCCCCCCCCCCCCCGATATTCAACCCCGGGGCTTATTTGACATTTTTTTTTTCACAATGTATATTTAGTACACTTATTCAACATGTTTGCAATAGGAACAAATCGTCAAAACCCCAAAATAATCGCCCAAAAAAATACCCCACTATACATTATTTATAAGATATAAGTGTAACATTCTCTATGCACTTCCGTTGCGTTTACCTCAGAAAATTTCAACATTCTGACTGGAATGCTGTTTGTGGGATTCTTACGAGATGCAGAGTCAATTCGATAGCATTGACTGAGACAGAAATATATGTAGAGACAGTGTGGACCGACATTTTAGGTGAAAATGAAATAAATACGTTTTTAAACCCAGAAAGACCAGTGGGGGTACAACGCAAACAAACCGAAGTTGTTTACCTTTCTCTCTTATAATGTATAGTGGGGTATTTTTTGTGGAGCGATTATTTTGGGGTTTTGACGATTTGTTCCTATTGCAAACATGTTGAATAAGTGTACTAAATATAAATTGTGAAAAAAATGTCAAATAAGCCCCGGGGTTGAATATTGGGGGGGGGGGGGATCCTGTCCACAAGTTCCTGTGATATTTAGGTGTTGTTTGTACATGTATACTAGTATTTACGTCACTTATAGAAAAGATATACAGCAACTGTGGGATACTTAGGGATTTCTGATGTTTTTAAAAATGATTGAAAAATAATTCAAAATAATGAAAATATTTAAATTTAAAACGAAAGATGCTTTTAGAAAAAGAAAGGGGAAAAGTTAATTAATGAAAATGATTGAGCCTCTCTCCTGCATGATAGATTATTTTGAAAAACACTGTAACAATCTAAGATTTAGTTTTTAAAACTATACAACCTCGACATGAATGAGCTCGAAATTTTCATTTTTCTACATTTCCCCTACGAATTAGAGTCAGAAAAGTTATATGTAGATAACATGTATACATAAGATCATTTGCAATGTCATGAATTGCATTCTGCTCTTTTTAAAAGAGGCTTTTTAATGTATAAATTTTAAAATTATTTGTGCATAAATAATTTTTGAAAGAGTCATTTTTAATTTTTTTTATCTACTAGTATTTGTTATGGCCGGTATTCTGCAGGTTTCAGCCATTTCGCTCGGCCCAGTATAAAACAAAATATAATTAATATAATTTTGTGTCAATTTATTATCAGTATCAGGCACGTAGCATCGTTTTTGAAAGGTGGGGGGGGGGGGGGGGGAGGCAACCAGAGAAAAAAAAATTACTAATACCTGAAAAAGTTGACAAGCGAAAAAAAAAAAAAACTTTTTTCAATTCAAGGCCAACTTCCTTTCACTTACAAATCAAATTTTTGCATACAATACTACATTTCCTTGATACCATTACACTGTGGTAAGAAGTGGAGGGGGGACCAACCTTTCAATACACATTTTCAATAGTAAAGTTTATGTTGGGAAAAAAGTCTGTGTGTGCAGGGGCCTGTCCCCCCCTCCCCCCCCATTGCTACGTCCCTGAGTATAGCAAAAGATGTTGATCAGATGCATTGGCAAACAGAAGTAAGGAAAAGGGGGAAGGGAAGGGGAGATGTTTACCGTTTTTAAGGTAGGATTTTTCTCATCTTGTATTAAAAATTAATGAGATTTTCATAGAATTAAAAAGACAATATCAGTAAGTGATAGTATCAGTGAGATTAAATTTGACCATTTCATATAAGAGGCAAGGTCAGGTCAAGGTCATTATCTTTTTCCATGACATTATGAATAAAAAAAATACTGTTGCCAATCATGTTATGCTTACTTCTATTTCAAAAGGCTAAAGATTGTTCTTTTTGCATAAAAAGAGTTTACTATATCGGGTCTATAGCATGATATTACCAAATTTACATAAATAATTTAACTAAACTGGATATTGGCTGATCCGAATTTTCTCTGTGTTTTCTTATTTTTTAAGGATATATTAGTTATTTTCATATGCCTCCTATATTTAACTTTTTCTTATTTTTACATATAATAAAGTAGTCTTATAAATGTACAAAATGACACAAAAACAAAAAGTTTTGATCGTTTACTTAGAGAGAAAAAATAGTTTTTTATGGACTCTGTACTTTGATTGGAAGCGTTTAAAAGCTAACATAGTTCTAGTTTGTTTGAAAAATCATATTAATTTGATATATTTTGAAAGTTTAGTCCCTTATTATTAATCTAACTTACATTTGAAAATTTCTGCAAGTCTTTGATTGTCTAAAAATTATAACTAAATTCTTTGTTCTATTATAATTTTGAGAGGCAGAAAAGAAGATATTTTCATACGCCACCATTCCGCCAAAAATATAGTTCCTGCTATTTTTCAAACGCAGTTTACCATTTCTATTTAAAGTTTTACAATTGTTATGAGGAAAGAAAAATATGTTCTTTTAAATCCCTTACACATAAATATATTAGACATATAAGCAAATATACTTTGAATGTTTCATCTAGTCAGAAACCAGATAAGAATCCTACCTTAACTGTTGACTGTGTTTGGTCATTCTCTATCCAGAGTTGACGTTCCCGCTTCTCTCCCACATACACCTCTGTCAACGCTTGTCATACAAGATTCTTGAAAAATTTGTTTTTGATTAAAAGTTGTATTTATCATAGTGTTTTATTATATTTCTTATCAGAAAACATTATTTATTTAAATTTGTAACACCTTAAAAGGATTTTTAATTAGATTTTAATTTATACTCTTTGAAAATAAGTCATTCTGCGTGATTATAGATTTAAAATAAATTATGAATTATCATCTTTATCAATATCTACAATAATTAATTATCATTTGAATTTCGAATCTTCGCTGTTTAAAATTTGTACAAGAATCTTGTACAACGAGCGTTGAGACTGAGAGGTGTATGTGGGAGAGAAGTGGGAACGACAACTCTGGATATGTGGGAGAGAAGCGGGAACTCTGGATAGAAATGTGTTTTTGGTACATGTATTCATAATTCATATTTAATTACAAAAATGTACCTTGATTGGCCGATAGATCCTGGTTAGCTCTACTGGTCAGAGACCAGAAGAGCTTATGCGAAAGTAAGGTGTCCGTCCGTCTGTCTGTAGCTGTCTAGCTGTCCGTCTGTCTGTAAACAATTTTTCAAAATGCTACTCCTCCTACAGTTTTGGTCTGATTTCAATATAACTTGACACACAAGTAAATTACACTAAATAGTGCATCGGTTTTTGATTGCGATGAACGGTGTTGCCATGGTTACTAAAAATAGAGTTTTCTGTGAAATTCCTTTAAAACGCTAATCCTCCTACAGCTTTGGTCTGATTTCAATATTATTTGGCACACAAGGAGACTACACTAAGATACATAATTTAGTGCATTGGCTTTTGATTTCGATGAACGGTGATGCCATGGTTAATAAAACTAGAATTTTATGTGAAATTACTTTAAAACGCTACTCCTCCAACAGTTTTGGTCTGATTTCATTATAACTTGGCACACAAGTAACTCTGACTATCCAACTACTCTAATATACATAATTTAGTGCATCAGTTTTGATTTCGATGAACGATGTTGCCATGGTTACTAAAAATAGAATTTTCTGTAAAATTCCTTTAAAATGCTACTCCTCCTAGAGTTTTTGGTCTGATTTCAATATAACTTGGCAAGTTAGACTACACTAAGATACATAATTTACTGCATCGATTTTTTATTTTGATGAACGGTGTTGCCATGGTTAATAAAAATAGAATTTTCTGTGAAATTCCTTTAAAACGCTATTCCTCCTACAGTTTTGGTCTGAAGGCAATGGCTTCTTTTCTCTTCCTTTGTTATAAGTACAAACCATCAGAGCTACAGTCTCGACAGAGACTTCTGGTTTTTTATGCATCACATCAATGTGTTTCTTTTCGCAGTACATGAGAATCTGAGCTCTTCTTTGCTCCAATCATATAAATTTATGTTCATTGGCTGTCTTCCTGATTGCTGATTAGTTAAAACCCAAATAACATACTAGCACTGCATTGTGTATTCGATTTGACTCCACCCCGGACAATCAGATTTAAAAAGGTCAGTCAATGAAACGAGGTGTTGCTTTACGATCCACAAGATAATATTCCGTTATTACAAGATAATATCTTGTTTTCACAAGATAATATCTCGTTTTCAAAAGATAATATCCCGTTTTCACAATATAATAAGTCGTTTTCACAAGATATTAATATCTCGTTTTCACGAGAAATTTTTTTTCCTAGTATTTTCAAAAAAATATTAATGTGTCCTAAATATACCTGTCATGAATTATAGACAGTAATACTTTTCTATTTACATTTTAATGCAATAATATTAATGACATTTACCGAACTATGACGTCATAGTACTATGACGTCATAGACGTTGCTATAACGTTATGTTATATACTTGTTGAGTTTCAAATAAACCACTATACGGTTCAGATGTGTTTTCTATGAGTGCTACAATCTTGACATTGGTGCCGTGACGAAAGAGGAGAGATGACTTCTAAGCTGAAGGCAGTAAGAGCAGGACAGAGAAGTGCTGTAACCAGACTTCTAAAAAGACTGGATGAAGAAAATGAAGATGCAGAGGAAATTGAGGCAATTTTGGAGACATTAAGGGACAAACAGGAAATTCTTAGAGATCTGGATGAGAAAATTCTAACAGAAATAGCAGAGGAGGATATTGAGAGAGAAATACTTGATTCAGATGAGTATAATTTCAATCTTAATTCTAAAATGAGAAAATTTAAGAAACATCTGGGTTCGGGGCCACCAACCTATAAAAATCTCAGCTCAAAACTCAGCCTTAAATCTCAAAATTCTGCCTCACCTGAGATTTTCAAAAAACGCCGTGCCACCAACATTTCGGAGATTGGTCTCATGTAAGCTGAGATTTGAGAAAAATCTTAGATATATTTCCGTTGTCATATGCGGCCTTTTTTCGAAAAATGCAAGGATTTGTTGAATCA